TATTCTATTCTATTCTATTCTATTCTATTCTATTCTATTCTATTCTATTCTATTCTATTCTATTCTATTCTAATTCTAATTCTATTTCTATTTCTATTTCTATTTCTATTCTATCCTATTCTATTCTAAAGTTGTGAAGATAACCAGGGAAGCAAAAAGACACAGGCAGAGGACAAAAGAACTAAGAGGAAACCTTCAGGTTTTATACATCGATGACTTAGAAGTGAGTTAATATCATGTCTTTGATATGTAAAAAAAGACGCTGAGGCTCTAGAAAGAGTGCAGAGAAGAGCAACAAAGATTATTTTTGTGGGGGGGGGTGGAGTCTAAAACATAACAATGAATAGTTTTGGAAACTGGGGGGGTGTCTTGTGTAATGAAGAGAAGGGCTAAGGGTGACACCATCGTCATCTTCCAATACTTGAGGGGGGCTGTCACCGAGAAGAGAGGGTGCATTTCTTTTCCAAAGCACTAGAGGGCATGACCAGAAACAATGGGTGGAAATTCTTCAGAGGTAAGTCCAACCTTGAACTTAGGAGAAACTTCCTGACAGTGAGAACAATGAATCAATGGAATTCCAGAGGTTTTGGGCGCTCCATCACTGGAGGTTTTTAAGAAAAGATTGGACAGCTATTGGTCTGGAATGGATTAGGATCTCTTGCTTCTGTAGGGGGTTGGAGTAGAAGACCTCCAATGTCCCTCTCTGTTTTTGTTTAAGGAATTTTATTTATTTTCTATTGTTTACATTTTGTTAGTGCTTAACAAACATCGTGTTGTCTGGGTTATTCAATTTGCTTAACAATACAGATTTGATTAATCACCTTTTTTTCCCCAAACACTGGTAAAATAAAGTCCACGTTTGATAATATTCTGTGTCTTCTGTTTAATCTTCAGCGTAAGCCTGCACCATCTAATCTTTTCCTAATTATCTCTTTGTCTTGTCGTGTTTCTTCATTTTTCCAATACTGTGCAAATATAATCCTCGCTGCTATTAAGACGTGCAATATTAAATATAGTCTGCTTATCATGTTTTTCTGATATTATACCTAATAAAAACAATTCAAGGTTTAAAATCTACATGTTTTCCTATCATCTTTTCTAACCACTTATGTATTTTTGCCCAATTTTTTTTTGGTTTTGTTTTTACCCAAATCCACTACATAGGATAATAAATGCCGTCCAATGTCTCTTCTAACTCTGTTAGTCTAACCAAAAGAAGGACTGGGGTGACATGATAGCAGTCTTCCAATATTTGATGGCTTATGACACAGAAGAGAGGCTCACCCTACTCTTCAAAGCACCCGAGGGCAGGACAAGAAATAACAGGTGAAGATCATTTAAAGAGAGATCCAGCAAGGAGCTAAGGAGAAATTTCCTGACAGGGAATACCAATAATGACTGGGACAACTTGCCTCCAGAAGTTGTGGTTGCTTCATCACTGGACATTTTCAAGAAGAAGTATAACTTTTAGCTATACAATTTGGGATGGACATCCTTTGAATGGTGTGGGAGTAGCAATGGATTCCCAGAGGAAAAAAAATTGCAGACTACAGGAACCATTTGTACCACTCAGGTGACCCTGAGGACACAGATGAACCTCCAAGTGCAAATACTTGGTGTGGCTAGTCTAGGGAAGAGAAGGACCAGGGGAGACAGGAGAGAAGTCTTCCAATATTTGAGGGGCTGCCAAAGAGAGAAAGGGGTCAAGCTATTTTCCAAAGCACCTGAAGGCCAGACAAGGAACAACGGATGGAAACTGAACAAGGAGAGATTCAACCTGGAAATAAGGAGGAATTTTCTGACTGTGGAATTTTCAACCTGTGGAACAGAAGTTGCCTTTGGAAGTTGTGGGAGCTTCATCACTGAAGGCCTTCAAGAAGAGACTGGAGTGCCCTCTGCCAGAAATGGGGCAGGGTCTCCTTGGGCGGGAGGTTGGATTAGATGACCTACAAGATCTCTTCCAACTCTGTTAATCTGTATCTGTATGACCTGGATAACTGAGAATCTCTGTAAACGTTTAGCTATCCAATTTGGGATGAACACCCTTCGAATGGTGTTGGAGTAGGAATGGATTTCCAGAGGAAAATTTGCAGACTACATGAGCCATTTGTACTGCTCAGGTGACCCTGAGGATACAGATAAACCTCCAAAGTGCTTCAAAGACCCTCTGAAAGGATGCAAATGACCAGCTGTCTGAAAGGAATATAAATCCTTCCATTCCCCACCATCCAGCCAGAGCCGAAGAAGCTTCTTGGGGGAGAAGCAAAACATCTTCAAAAGGAAGATGTTTTGTCTCCTGAAAAAAAAAGCACCTTTGGGTGACTCTAGAGATTACACCTGCAGGTTTTTCTGTTGTAAATGACCCCAAAATCCCAACTACCTGAAAAGCAGCATGGCCCCCGGTTTCTTGATTTGCATTAGGACCAACATCCTTGAAGTTTCGCTGCGTGCATATTATGCATAAAGCTTGTTTAGCATCTGAACGTTTGCCAGCTGGGGCGAATGATCCAAATTGTGTCTGCTTCATTAGTTGCTCAAGTGCACCACCTTCAGGCAGAATCGTGTAGGTACAGATTAAGGAAAGTTGGGGGGCGAACAGAACCAAAATAGAAGTTTATTTTGCTTTCATTATCCGGACAGGAAACCTAAGGAGTTAGTAAATAACAGAATAACGGAATTGGAAGGGACCTCGGAGGTCTACTAGTCCAACCCCTTGCTCAAGCAGCAAATCCTACATCATATTTCAGATAGTTGTGTCCAATTAATTCTATGTTTGTCTCAAGACCTACAGGGGCACAAGGTGTTTCTTATTTCCAATATGCACCAGTCAGCTCTCAAAGGAGTATTCAGGAGCAAGCAGAAACAGGAAGCTGCTAAACTAATGGATAGTGCAGCGACGATTCATGGTGAATAGAACTCACCATTGAGTTAGGTATAGTACCAGAAAATTTCTGTTTAATATTGCATGTTTTGATGGCAGCAAGAATTGTATTTGCACAGTATTGGAAAAATGAGGAAATGCCCAGAGATGATGATGTAATTTTAAAAAAATATTAGATTGCACAGAAATGAATAGATTGACATTAAAGGTAAAAGAGAAGGAAAATGAGAATACTTTCAAATATGGGATTTGTTTTATAAACAGTTGGATAATAGAAGTAGAAATGAGGAGGTGGGAAAGCATTAATATGCAAGCAATTGACCAGACAATGCTCTATTCACAAAGCACTTAGGTATGTTAAATGAAAATGTACAAATAAACTATTTTTTTTAAAAAAGAACTCACCATTAATACTTGGAAACTTCCAAAAGAGATTTTTTTTTTCATCCTGGTTGCAGGAAAACCAGTGCAACATACCATATTTTAAATACGGAATATTTACAATGAAGCTCAGAAACGTGGATTTTTTTTTTTTTAAAGGGTAGCTTGCTTCCAGATCCAAGGTGCACAGGCTACTTTAAGGCAAACAGATGTGCATTAGAGAACCTGAGAGGTTTTATATATTGATGACTTAGAGATGAGGTAATATCATTTCTTTGATACGAAAAAGATGCTGAGACTCTAGAAAGAGTGCAGGGAAGAGCAACCAGGATGATGAGGGGACTGGAGGCTAAAACCTATGATGAACGGTTGCAGGAACTGGGCCTGGCTAGTCTATGGAAGAGAAGGACCAGGGGAGACAGGATAGCAGTCTTCCAATATTTGAGGGGCTGCCCCAGAGAGGAGGAAGGGGTCAAGCTATTCTCCAAAGCACCTGAAGGCCAGATGAGGAATAATGGATGGAAACTGAACAAGGAGAGATTCAACCTGGAAATAAGGAGGAATTTTTCTGACAGTGAGAGCAATCAACCCACGGAACAGAAGTTGCCTCCCGAAGTTGTGGGAGCTTCATCA